TATCCAACTATATGTATGTATTTATATATATATATATATGTCTGTGTGTCTGTGTGTGTGTCGTGTCCCCCCTCCCTGAAACCTACCTTTTTGGTACCCGCCCTCGAGTCCAAACCCAGAAGACTTTTTTCGATATCCGCCCCAACTCCACCCACGTCCGTCCGCAGCGGATATGCCTCGTTCCCTTGCTCTCTTCTCCTGTTCCAACCCACGCCTACCTTTCGATCTTTCACCCTTCCCTCTCAAGTGGTATACTGATTGGTGGTTTGGAACATTAATTTTATTTTTCCATATATTGGGAATAATCATCCCAACTGACGAACTCATATTTTTCAGAGGGGTAGGTCAACCACCAACCAGTACAATATTTGGTCTATAAGCAACAATTTCTCATGCATACTGACCACTATTATCAACCACCTAGTATTTCATAGGATCGTGGCTATACTCAATGGCTCAAGTGCTCTATTTGGTTCATTTTGCAGTTGTGTGTGAAATTTCTGCTAAAGGTGGGTCGCATTAAATGATTACCATTGGCATCTGGAAGCCACTAGTCTAGGTGTTTTCCGCGCAGCCGGTTGCTACTGGTTGTTGCATTTGCAGGTAATATATAGACATTGTGGGCTATCAACATGGATTCTTAATGGTGTAATGAGATATAGCCAATAAACCAACCTTGGGACGGTTTGTTATTGTTCTATACAGTGATCCCGTGTTATTCCATAATTATCTATATCCCACTATTATCCTATATGGATCCATATTTTCCTCTTAATATCCTACATTTATCTACCATATCCCATAGGTTGGCATTGGGTGACCAACATCATTTCCGGTGAATTTGATGCGATCAGGGCAATGCAAGTTTCCATGGCATTGTAAGGTGTTGGCCCAGTTTGTTAGGATGGTTTTATAATGTTTTATCTATGTAGCTGTGGTTTATAGATGTTTTTTAATAGTAGATACATTGAACTATTTCATGGGGTTTATAAACCAACCAACGCAGAATTGGGGGCACACCCCAAATGGTGCTGTTTTTGTATGGTGTTTGTTTCTTTTCTGGAAACAACCAAGCCTCTAAAATATATTGTAACACATGTTTGGGATGTATTTTTTGAATTGCTTTCACGGCAGGTGCATCTTTTGGCTAAGTCCTCCATTTTGCCGGCAATCACCCAAAGATGTTCTTTAGGATTTTATATCATATCTTCCCACAAAGAAAAAACTATCCAAGCAGAAATCCTGCATTGCTATATTAGGATCCGCAGTTGTTTTTGCATATGCCCAGCATGCCCAGCATCAGGAGCTGTTCGCTGCTTGGTTGGATGGCCAGCAGATCCACCTTCTTGCCGATGCCTGTGCTGGTGGCCCCTGCCCGCAGGCGTCGACACCGAATCGGAAATATGTCATATCAAGTTGGGAAATCACTGGAGGTACGAGCATTTTCGGACACAGCCATAAATAAATATATATATATATAGATATAGATATAATATGTATATATATATATATATACACATATAAACCGTTATAGTTATATATCCCAATGGTGTATATGTGTGTTTCTTTTCAGTGAGATTGCTGATTGTTAACCGGATAGCCCACCTTCAATGCACATTTGGATTGCCAGTGTACTGCAATAAAGATATTCCATGTCAGACATGTCATTGACAGAAAACGATGTACAGACTGTCAAAGCCCCGTTGTTTCTATGTGTTATATAATTACGGAATATTAGATATGGTTTTTTTATTACCAAGATCATCCATAGATGTTTGCATTCTACACAGCCCTCAAACATCCAGCTGTGTAGATGATCTAATCAAAAATAAACTGATCCACTACACTCCACCGAAGGGGCGATCTGCTATGAAGATCTATTTACTGGAAAATGTGATGGCAAAGGTACATGAAATGGATTAATCCTGCTCCATTTAAGGCCACTTTTTTCACAGCTTCCCTTTCAGCTTCCCTTTCATAGATCTTGCATATGTGTTATGCTCATCCAATTTAGGTAAGCTCTGGTTTGGCTGAACCCGGCAGTGGGTAACCCCATGTTGTTGATCGGAACGTAATTGACCGAAATTGAGATATCTGTGAGTCGATTGTTTTGCTTCCAACCAGGTCAGATTACCACAGGGTACCTTTTGAAGAAATCCAATTAATTGGGAAGGGCCTGAAAGGGAACCCCAAAGAATTGGATTGTTGAAGTACTGATTATTTTGTAATAAACCAAATTTGCGGGTATAGATGTGTACCCCCGAACAATTCAATATAGATTTGGAAAAGCCAGGGGCTCCCTAGGAAAATGATGCACGGATGGTTTTCCATATTTGTGGTCCTGCATCCATACGTGCCATGATCAAAACATGGGTTATCTTCCAGAACGGGGACGGTAATCCCCCCTTTGACCTGTAGTACTCGATGATCGTGTCTTTCACTTGTCGGTATGCAAGGTTGGATCCTGAAAGGAGTTGTAGATGTTGTTGTAGGGGTTCCGTTGTCTCGTTGAGGAGCACTATTTTTACTGAGTCTGGTATAGTTGTTGTCCATTGTCTCGTTCGAATCTCGAAAGTTCGAACTCCCATGTTGCAAATGATTCTTCAAAGTTGTCTGTGTCGAACGTTGGCTTCAGCAGCTTGGTCAAGTAGCCAATTGACCTTGTGCCTAATGGAATTGAGAATCTACGACAGAGTTGTCGATAGATCTCAAAGCCATTGCTGTGTTGGAATTGTTTGCAAACAGTTGCTGCTGAGTTTGTTGTGATGTTGATGAGGATGTACCTGATGTCTGCTGGCATTTGTACGTGTTTTTCTCCATCCTCGATTGTGTCTGCTGCAGCTCGCAGTTGTGCGTCTGTGAGTTCTGCTGTTGCTGTCTCTGATGCCTGTAGTAGCCTTGTATATATCATTGTCCATGAGTCCCATGTATGCAGTGAACTTAAATTTCCATTCTTCAAATCTTCCATAGTCACCATTGTAGAATGGTGGCTTCAGCTTGTACCTGCTGATGCTTGTCAAGTCTTCTTGTGTGTTTGTGGTGGTGCTTGTCGCAGCTGCCGCTGCTGCTGCCGCTGCTGCTGCTGCTGGTGCTATCGCTCCTGTGCTTGTTGCCATTGTAAACTGTGCCGAAGCTTGCCTAACGTGTTGTCGGGGTCAAGGCTTTGTCCTACACGGTTTCCTTTGTTCTCTCTTCTCCTGTGCTTGCTGGTGTGCCTGTGTAGTTGTTGTAGGTGTTGTTGCCTGACCTGTCGTCAGTGCAATTGTTTCTCCTCTCTTGTGGATGTGCTGTTTGTGTGTGTGTGCGGTATTGGAGCTCACCTCGATTGTGTTACCAGGATCACTGCTCCGCTACCATGTAAAGTTTCACTGTTCCACTTGTCTGTCGATCTCCTCAATTGTCACTGCCCAATTGTGTGATCACTCTTACTGTATTGTTTTGTCTCTCTGGGCTCAAGTGTGCAAAGGCTCAAGGCCTTGTGATCCAGGCATTGTACACGGACACTATTGTATGTGCATTGTGCACATGGTACAATGACATTGTTCTTAACACATTTTGGGGACCCCAATATTAGGAAACCTCCATTTCCCCTTTTTGTAGATACCATTCTCCCATTAACAGCGTCACGTCAGGCCGCCCATCGAAGCAACTCCCTGGTCGTCTGAGCTGACGTTGAGATGTCTCCTTTTATGATCCGAAGCAATGGATGTGTTGAGGTTGCAAGCAGGTTATCACATATTTACATTTAAGTATTATATATACAGTTCACTCTATATGTATATATACAACTTTTTGTATTAACATATATATATATTATATTATGAATAATGTATATATATATATACAGTATAATCAGTTTCTGAATGAGAAATGGAACTAAACTAAATGGGAACATTTCCAGCAAACCATGTTTGATTACCAGAGGGCAAGATCCCAGCAGGACAATGTCAGGGAAACAGCCGCAGATCTGAGGAAATGAAACAATTAGGTTGTTGCCCCAGAGGTTGTGATCAATTCCTACTTAAAGTGGCAGCCCCTTAGTAGTAAACTCATAAAAGTGGCAGCCCTTCAATAGTTAAATTGGGGGGTTATTAATCCTGTGTTAACATTACTTGTATCGATAATTCACGAATTTAAATGGTGGATATGAACTACCAACAAAAATTTGACCAAAGACCCTTTTTTTTTCGCCATGCATCAGTTTGTTTGTGAAGGGCACGGGCATACGCGCCACCAGAAAGTTGCTCCAGTTCAAACCAACCTCAACAAATTGTAGCCATTGTAGTGGCATTTGCAACACACACAAAATGGAACGAAGGCTCGAAGTACCCTATCTCATCCCTGGGGAAGCTACGTTACGAATCAATACATTCCACAGATTACTTTCGAGAGGTATCATTAGTTGCACAGTGGAAAGCCGCTGGCAACAAGCTTGATTAGATGTACAGATGAGGTCAGTAGGGTCTTTGACAAGCGGTCCGCTGAAGTCGCTGTTTCATTTGTCCACAATATTTGTTCCAGTTTGTTTTTTGTTGAAAGCGTTTGATGAAAGGAACGCGATGATGACAAAAGAATGTGAAACAGGAACAAGATGATGAAACAGTAGTGGGTGGTTTTCATGACACAGACATATCGCACAGAGTCCGTCTCTAAAGTTTGGAAAATATAAAACGTTCTGCGATTGGAAGCATTTTTATCCCCTACGGGTACATCTACAAGTCGTAAGCCTACTTCCCTGTACCCAAAGCAAATAGCACGGGTGAATGCTACAATCTGCTACAATGGTGGCTTTGTTGGGATTTGTTGGCGTCCTTTGCTTGAGCCATAGCCATATCTTGAAAGCGAATCTCTTGCGACCCTCATTCGTTGTACATATCGAGAGTGCCGGCCGAGCCATTTGTTGCTTGGAGGAAGATAACCCGTGTGGTGCGAAGACACAAAGGAAGTAAAATTGGCCTGCTTGGATGTGCATCCCGGGAATAGTAACTGGGTTTAATAGTCCATATATAGAACTGAGTATACCCTCTGGTAAACTAACATAGCTATGAGAAAAAACATCCTTAATAGGTATAAGTCAACTATAAATGGGCCATTTTAAATAGCTAATTTTGACATAACCAGAGGGTAACCACTTCATCATCCTCCCTATGGTTTATGGTAGATATAACTATGGTTTTCATGGCAGTTAATGACGGACGATAGATTAACCATAGTTATATCTACCATAAACCAACTACTATGGTTTATAAACCAACTTATTCTATCTATGGTTTATAAACCAACTTATTATAGATTTCCAGTAGTTGATTTACCTATAAATTAAAAATCCTCAAAATCCTCATGGAAATCCTCATTGAAAGTTCCGCGCAAAACAAATGCCTCAGGTTCTGAGGTCGATATCGACATAGCTGGCTATAGATGGCTTATTTTTGAAAGATGACTTCTGGATATACATAAATCATCATAAATCTATGATAGAATCAGATATCTGGGTATATAGCTAAAATATATTATGATATAGATCATATAGGATAGAATCAGATACCTTGGTAACTTACAACTATAACATGTTATAACAACCTCACTGCGAACGCAATGGAACGATGGTTAGCAAGGGTGACTATCCCAAACGTGCCCAACATTTCAGGTCAGTGAATTATTACAAGTCTCCCAAAAAGAATCGCTATGTTAAATTCTCCAGAGGGAGAATATCCCAGCGACACAGATGACATGTTCTGATTGGATTCCTTTGGGTGCACCAAGAACCTTGTGGTAGCCCCGACATTTGTGTTTTGAGTTTACAACAGGGCAAGTTATACTCTATCTGCAAATCATCCTTATATTACTGGTAAACATTCAAGCATTTCCTGACATTTTACATCGGCTAGTTTGCATGGCTTTATTTAGCCAAAACTAAACGGCAGTGAATCACAGAGTGGGTTGGTTTATTAAGAAGCACTCAACAGCATACACAGTAAATCATCAAGTATTAACTATAACACTTGCGTCCAAATTGCCTTTACCCAAGCCACAATTAAACGGCATTAACCCGACAAAAAGTGTGGGGCTGCATTTGGGGAAACCTAGGATTGGTAGTTTACTACTTTCTTTTGCTATCGAAATATACACATATACGAGGTGGTGCCCACCCAAGTATACGTTGGTCTATAACCCCATCGTGGTCACCATAATCCCTCGGGAAATCGGAGAAAAAAACAACTTTTAGCGATTCCAAACTTTTGGCACCACCGTGTAATTAGTTGTGTTGATATAGTTATCTCTGTTATGATCCCATTATATACATGTGTATACATATATATATATATTATAATATATATATACATTATAATATATATATATATATATGCATTATAATATATATATACATTATAATATATATATATATATATATATAAATTATAATATACATACATATATATGTATACATTAATAAAAAATATATATACATATTTATGATAAATATTTATGATACATATTATATATATTTATATACATATGTTGATATTTTCATTTATATTTATGATATATATTTATGATATATATATATATATTATATAATATGATTTTAAATATGATTTAAAATATGATATAACATAGTATCATATAATATCATAATTTAATATTATAATATTCTAATACTTACAATCATTTAATTTAATATATTATGAAAATATACAATATAATATAACATAATATAACACAATATAATACAATATAATATATAATTTAATTTTCTTTAATATAGTATCATACATACTTTATAATATAATACAATACAATATAATATACTATACTACATTTTAATATGATTTAATATAATACAATGTTATACAGCATAATTCATAATATGATATAGTATATAAAAATATAACAAGGAATGTTTTAACATAATACAATATAATTTAATATACTATACTTAAATATAAAATCAAATAATGCACTATAATATAATATAATATACGTTAATATAATTTAATACAACACAATATAATATACTAGAATATAATATAATATAGTATCATATCATATAAATATATTATAGTGTATATAGATGTATAGTATGATAGTAAAATATGGTAGATATTTATCTCATTATTCATATTATACCACTATCCCACCATTTCATAGGAATGTGCTCATATTTTCGGTTGCGCTGCCAGGTCGGCAACAAGTGTGACATGTTCGATGAGTTGCAGGTCACCGAGGACGAAGGCAGAGCTAAGGCCGGGACTTCTGACGTGATTTGAAAAAATGATGGTAGTTACCCTCTTGTAAACATACAAAAAACTGTTGAAAATGGCCATTGAACTAGTGGATTTACCCATTAAAAATGGTGATTTCAAACAACCAATCATATACTGGTTGGTGGTTTGGAACATGAATTTTATTTTCCATAATATATTGGGAATAATCCTTCCCATTGACGAACTCATATTTTTCAAGATGGTTAAAACCACCAACCAGTGAATAATAGCTGAGTTTATGGGACTTGTAGCTGATTTCGGAAATATAACCACTTTAATGGGATTTATAGCTGATTGAGAGCTAAATTGGTGAACATGACTAGGTGAATTCTATGGTTGAGGGTAGATATATCGAGTTCATGGGTTTATAAATTAACTTATACATAATGAACCATTGAAAATACCTGGTTAGTGGTAATTTTAATGGAATTCAATCACCAACGAAGTTGATTTGAAAAACCAAACAACTACAGATACACTGATATGCATAATAAAAATCCCATTTGCTTAATATTAAACACACCATACATGGTTCGAAATATGTGGTGTCCTCCCCTACTGTCGCCATGGTTGCTGGGGTGGGAGTTTCATATGAAAGGGCGAAAGGATTACCCGATTACTTCTGACAGATTGTTATATGGGGTTATATATACTCCTAGTTTTCATGTTTGTTTGGGTCTGTTTTATAGGGATACCCACAGACCAAGCAGTATATTTGGATGGGATAGGGGCATTCTTCGTAGCTCAGGTGGGGATGAAACCAACAAAATGGGGAGATATGAGATCTTGGTTGGCTTTGGGTATTATTGTATACACAGTATGTACATAATATATTGGTTACAGTGTGTATATAATATATTGGTATATAAATAAGCAAATATGTATTTACATACATATATATATATATATTATATATATATCATAGTCTTCCATCCTCGTATTTGAGCGCAAGAAATATAGGCAAAGCGACGCTTGTTTTCTCCAATGCAATCGGGTTCTTGTCCGAAGAGAATCGGTTTCTGCAAGTAGTACAGTAATGTCAACCCTGAATTGATCCAGCAGCAGTTGGGTCCTACCAAATTAGTTCTTGTTGGTGGTTTGGAACATGAATTTTATGACTGTCCACATATTGGGAATAATCATCCCAACTAACTTTTATATTTTTCAGAGGGGTAGGTATACCACCAACCAGTATCAATTGTATCCACTTAATAGACCCATATTTTGTTGGTCAATATCACCTTATTGAAGGACTTTTTTCATCAACAGGGCTTGAACGTGCCAGACAGCCAGACCCAGGCTGAGCAGATGGGTGCTTTCTTCATTGCCACCTCTGTCCGGGCCATTGAAAATTTCCCTTGGTTGATTGGTTAGTTCAGGAGTTGTACTACCCTCTGGTA